CTGTTGCTGCTGCTGCTGGTGTTTGCTACAGCTCGCGTCAGTGGCTCGGGTGTCTAGGACGCGGGAATCTGTGTCTGTTGTTAAAGTGAAAACAAAAAAAGCAGAAGGAGCGAAAAACCAAACAGAAAACATGCAGGCTATCTTCCCCTCAGATATAGAACGAGAACCCTCAACACCCAACCGGGTAAGAAACCCTAAACCCTAAACCCTAAACCCTTAATTAGAAAAAGGCTATTGTTTCAGGCAGCTGGGGCTGCAGCAAACGTATGTTCGAGGGTTTAAGCGTATACAGAGGGTTTAGGGTTTAGGGTTTATGGTTTTGTTGCTGGGGTTTAGGAAGGAGGCATCAACAAGCCTGCTGGAGCTGCCTTCTGCTCGCCTGCAATCTGCATGCCACAGCAGCAGCAGCAGAGCAGCAGCAGCAGCAGAATGGGATACGGAAAGCCGGAGACAAACACCTACGAACTCATCAAGGCTCCAGGCATCGTCAGACCTCTCTACGGTACTTTCAAACCCTAAACCCTAAACCCTAAACCCTCACGTTTGTAAGAATAAACAAGCAGGCGTTGCACAAACCCTTGCAGGGAAGCAATGCTGTAACTTTGCTTCAAATACCAGCAATGTCTATAGTATCTCTACTAGGGTTTAGGGTTTAGGGTTTAGGGTTTGCATTGTGACGGGTTCTCTTGCAGATATCATCACTCCCGCTCCCCAACAGACGTCTCGCCCGCCGCTGCCGCCTCGTCCGCAGCAGCCTCAGCAGCAGTTTCCTCTGCCGCCGCAGTTACTGCAGCAGCAGCAGGCACTACGCCTACAGCAGCAGCAGCAGCAGCAGCAGCAACAGTATTATACGGGGCAGTTGGCTGCTCTTGGGGGCCCCCGCGTAGCAGCAGCAGCAGCAGCATTGGAGGTGACGAGAGAAAGTTGGTTCGAAGATCTGCAGCAACAAATGAAGAGAGAAGAACTGCAGCAATACGCAGACACTGCACCTCCAGGTAATCATACTGCAGCAGCTAACCCAGCAGTAGAAGCAGCAACTGCTGCTGCTGCACAAGCTGCTGCTGCAGCAACAGCTGCAGCCACACGTATCTTCTTCTGTCTCTCTGCTTCGATTCATATCCTATTTGCGTGTAATCTGCTTCTGTCTCTATAGTTCAGTGTATGAATTATATGGATGGATGTTATTGTTTTTTATTTATTTTATTTATTTATTTTATTTATTTTCTTTCTTTTACTATTTTCAGCCTTCTCCTCCTTCGCCTCTGCTCCGGGTGTCTTTGGGGGGGGCAGACTCCAGCCGACTGCCCGCCGCCTCAAGGCCTCAGTACTGCGGGAAGAAGCAGAGACCCAAGCGTATGCAATGCCCCGCTAGCTAGCTAGCTAGCTAGCTAACTAGCTAGCTAACTAGCTAGCTAACTAACTAATTCGACGGGTGGCTAGCTAGCTGGTTGGCTAGCTGGGTAGAGAGGGAGCGACTGTGGCGTTGGTTTATTAAGCAGCTCAGCTGGAGGCCTTTGCCTCCTCCTGGCAATGTCTGCACATCAACAATACTAAACCCTAAACCCTAAACCCTAAACCCTAGATTATTTCTTCTTCGTCGGCTCTGTATCAATACCTGTCTCCGTCTGCTTACGGCTGGTGCATTCGCTCCTTTCTCTCGGATGCCGTACAGCAGTTCTCCTTTCGTGTATTTGTTTCTTTGTTTGTTCGTTCTTTTGTTTGTGTGTTTTTGTGTTTGTTTGTGTGTTTGCCTTTATTTATTATATGCAACTAGCGGAGCCACCAACACTATTACTATTGTTATTGGTGTTGGTTGTTTTCGTTTTTATTATTATTATTGTTGTTGTGTATTGTGTTGTTATTGTTGTTGTTACTGTTGTTCTTGTTGTTGTTATTTTTGTGTTTGTTTTTGTTGTTGTTGTATTTGGTGTTTACTGCGGGGCATAGCTCGTGCTTCTATCTCTTTGTCTCTGTCTTTCTATTTGCGTCTATCTGTCTTTCTTTTTGTTTCTGTTTGTCTCTCAATTTGTCTCTTCTTGTATCTGTCGGTGTTCCTTCGTCTTCGTTTGTCTCTCCTTCTTGTCTCCTTCTGTCTCTTCTTTTTGCCGCCCCCAGTCTCCTGTTGTATTTCTTTGTCTCTGTTTGTTGTATTTGTTGTGTTTCTTTGTTTGTGTGTATTTTCTATGTCTCACTTTTGTCTCTGTCTGTCTCTTTTCTGTGTTCATATTATCTGTCTCTGTTGTCTCTGTTTGTCTCCCGTCGCTCGTCTGTCTTTTGTTCCTTCGTTTCCTTTTATATATC